ACCATTTAGCATAGTATTTAAAACATAGGTATACACCCTTCTACCTTTTGATTTCTCTTTTTTATATCATTGTGAGGATAAATATCGCATCTCTTGTTCCAATCTATTTAACAAAAACTCATCTCGTTTTCTGTTTCCAGTCTAATTCTCCTACGTTTATTATTTATCAAAATTCGGATACTCAGTTCCGCTATATGACACATAATATTTCTGGCCCTTCCATCTTATTGTGCATGGCAGAGTTTTTAACTTTCATCATAGAAGAGTTATTAGATACATTCTTTCCATCGCTAAAGAAATTTTTCTTTAACTATTCTGAATCTTCCCCCTTTCGATTTTATCGATCCTGTTGACGAGCACATCTTTTGTCCTGTTAATTTTCTTATTCTTGTATACGTATCTGCCTTATATCTGCATCTATCTCTCGATACTGTCTATTGGACTATTCCTCTTTTTCTTGCCTTCATTTCTTTCCAATTTATCTGTGTAATATACTATATTCTGTGTCATACCTTGGCATTGTTTGCTGTCTTATTTTCATCAGGTTCAGAATATCATCTGTCATCCACTGCTTTTTTATTTTTTTTGCTTTTTTGTTTTCCTTTTTCTTATATTTTTTGTTTGTATACGCACAACTGTTTTCCTTTCTGGGCTTAATGAATGGAGAATTTGTTCAAATGTTTGTTGAATCCAAATTTTTTCGGTTTATTCATTAACCATTTTTACGGATTTTAGTTATACTAGATTAGAGTGTTGGAATCATCACAGTATTTAATATTGTTGATGTTATCGTTAACATTTTTCTCAAGATTACAAACTATACGTTTGGTTCAATTTCGTGATGAAATTTGTATAAGCTGATTTGTTGGGGAAAATATTTTGACTAAACCCTAATTCGCAGTTTAAAAATTTCCTTAATTTAATTTTATAGGACATTATTGTAAACAATTTTTTTAAGCATTTTTTTCCTTTTTAACAGCTAAGAATATATTCTTAGGATTTCTTACTCTTTAGCATGTAACATACAAGTGACCATGCATAAATATTTCTTTCTGGAATCAAATTCGAACTTTTTGAGCGTTTGGTCTTGTAATGTGTTCATAGTTCTAGCAAACACAGCGCGAACTGGATGGAAACTGGATTCTTGTATATAAAAACTTAAAGCAAAAACAATATTGCATTTATATTGAATAAGTATTTGTTATTTTAGTCATTAAACTGTTAAAATAGTGGGAATATTTTGTATGGTAAAAAATACAACTTTTAATTTTTGAAAAAAATTATGAAACTTTATTTTACTAAGCTACGCACCCTAGTAAAATAAACTGTAATTTGTCCCCACCCCCCTACCATTTACTTGTTTGCACCTCTCCCCAAAATTTGTTTTGGTGTTTATTTTAGAGGGTGCGTCGGACGGACGGACTACATAATTTTATATATAGATTACTATAATAAAAAAATGTATGTAAGTACTACTGTAGACAGAATGAATGTTTCTGAAAATTAGACATATTCCTAATTCCCGTATGCAACCAGGGTACACTGACCGTGTTCATAATTCATATACAGATGTTGATCGATTTTTGTTTTTGCAATACCGCAAATTTTCAGATTCATTCCCATGAGAGCAGAAATAACCTTCTTGATACGCACCTATTAACCCTGGAATTTTTTGTTGATTTCATTTGAGCCAATCATTGTAGTCTATTAACACGGTCTACCAACTGAGCTGTTGCTAGTGACCTCCTATTCTCTCAGTCTCGTTAGTTCGTACGCCGTCTGGCCAACAATGCTTTCTCTCGTCTTCCTCCCGAACTCGCTATTTATGCCCGCGTCGGAAGCAACTAAAATATGCATACTAGACTTCTCGTTACTCGCATACTTTACATAATTGCTGTCATTCCAATTCCAAATAATAATTTGTTTTGTTTTGTTCTTTGAAAGGTTTACATTAAGTCCTGTTTCACGGATCAACTGGTACATTTTTTTTTTACTCTTACTTCAAGATAATACTTATCCAAAAGATGAATACTTATATCATTAGCTAACCCCATCGTCTATTCATTGGCCTTTGGAAATAAACAAGGAAAGTTATTTTTATTAGTAGATTCATTTAGAATATGTTACATATAAGTAAATACCCGTATATGGACAGGAAGATTAATTGACTATGTATCGAAACGAGCTTCTTCAACGTACCGTCTCCCTTCAGAACATAATGTCAAACGGTGCCACAGCTTCATAAAATGAATGTCACATTCACATACCATTCCCATGGCCCGTCGATTTCTTATAATTCCCGTTGATTTACCAGGAGCAAATCATACTATAGTAATGGTTGCTGCCATAACGTTAATACCGGTGATGTCACCTATCATCTTTAGATACTGCTTACACCCAATTTTTGCCATGTCAGAAAAACGAAGTCTTGTCTATCAGTTCATTGCAATTAAATTTCTCTACGAGCTGTCTTAGTAATTTTCATTTGCATCACAGAGGTCCAGGGGATGGTAATTGGACCTGTTCTACCACTCTCATGGCTCGTCGAGTTCCTATAAGTCCCTTTGATTTACCAGGATCAAATCATACGATAGTAATGGTTGCTGCCATAACGTTAATACCGATGATGTCATCTATCATCTTTACTTACTGCTTACCCCCAATTTTTGCCATGTCAGCAAAACGAAGCCTTGTCTATCTGTTCATTGCAATTAACTTTCTCTACTAGCTGTCCTAATTTACTTCTACATCAGAGAGGCCCGGGGGTGATATTTCGACCTGTTCTACCACACCCATGACTTATTTCTATCAAGTTCCGAGTTGGTATTTGGACCTGTGCAATAGTCGAAATCCTAAAAAGTGTCCACTTAGACAGATGACGTTCCACAACATCTATCAGTATGTTCAATGGTGATATTTTCCTTGTATTATACGCATACATTCTTGTTTTAGTCTGTAAACTATTGATCCTTACCTCTATCTGATTGGAAAGAAATCAATGTAGGTTTGTTTGTTTTTGATACTCATTAACAAATGCGGTAGTATTTTTATTTCTACCTCGAATATCTTCCAATCGGCTTTGTGTTCCAGGTTTTAATTAACCACATTTTGTTTTAGATTTATCTTGATTCACTGGTCAACAAGCTGTTGTTTTTTTTTTATAACTTCAACATGGCCGATACTGAACAGAGCTTCCGGTTTCCTACCTACCGTTACACGTTCACTTCCGGTTGGTAGTGGTTATTCTATATTTATTCGTTTTAAATTTTTTCAACTTCTTCATTTTCTTTTCCTTCTTTATTTCGCCTTTGCTTTTCATTCGTTTCTCTCTTTTTTGTACTCTGAAGATAAGAGAAATGAACGAGAAATAAAAATAAAAATAAAAGAGGCGGCATTTATACGCTGTCTGATAGATCTGGCTTTCGGTTCGCAAGACGGGCTGAAATGTAGGAAATTGGTATTTTTGTAGCAATTTGCGAAGATGCACTTGAGTCTTTTCCTGGTTACTTTACAATATCCGCTTCCGGTGGTCAGCATTAACGGAAGTTAAGCGTCTCCATCTTTGCAAAGTGATTTCAGTGAAATGAATGGAGATAATAAATAAATACATCGGGAAAAAAGTTGTCAGTAATAAATATGTCAAAATCTGTTTTCTTTTCCGAAGTCCAGAAACTATCGATATATTTAATGTACGGTTAAAACAAAAACTAAAATTTAAAAATCTAGTAAGTATTTTAACAGTGTACAGAAAATGAGTCACCAAAATCTGATTGGTCATCAGATACCTTTCCTAAAATTTAAAAGAAATACCAAAAAGAAGAAAAAAATCGTTAGAAACAAAGTATAAGGGTAGTGGATTTCTATGTAATATTAGTCCACCTGTATCTGTCTATATTTCTGAGATGAGGTACTATGTACACTATTTACATTCTTTGGAATACCATCCTCATCTTTGTTGCCGTATTCATTACAACGTTTCGGCCGTTGTATGCTCCGGCCTTCTTCAGGTGAATGTTGAACTAAACCCTTTATTTCGCTCACTGGGTTAGACTGTTCTAGTTCCACGTGCCATGTTTAATGGATGTCAGTTATCAGTTATCACCTTAAGGACACGTGGCACAGTAGATAAAGGCGTTAGTCAGATCCAGTGACAGGACCCAAAGATTTGTGAGTTCAATACCTGGTTAAGGCGGTGGAAACCTTGGAGAAGATGAATTGACAGGAGATAACTGATAACTGACATACATTAGACATGGCACGTGGAACTAGTATAGTCTGCCCCAGCAGGCGAAATAAAGGGTTCAGTTCGACATTCCAAACACGTGATGAAGGCCGGAGCGTACAACCGTCGAAATGTTGTGATAAATATGGCAACAAAGATGAGGATCATAGTCCGAACAATGTAAATAGTATATCAGTTCACCTGTAGAGTAGCTATTGTTCATCACATTTATATGAATGTCTTGAGATAACAGAAATATTCTTTTTCAAAAGGTTACTGACATTAGCCTGGCGCCGACGAATCTTTCGTGAAAATTGAAACAAAAAAGACACTTATACTTAACATCATGGTCTGAAGGTAGATTTGTAATTGTGTAACATGGATTCTGACAAGAAAAACAGACACGATACAATCAACCAACTTTCCTTGCAATAGATGCAGCTAATGATTCGATGTTGTTCTAATTCAAGTCAGTTTAACAGGATGTCTCAGTGTGTTACCCATCATGTCTAGCATCAGTCAGGCTGACAGATGATTTAAAGAGCAGCGGCCAGATTAACTTTTGTCAGTTCTGGCGGATTTGCTATTGAGACATGAGTAAATGGTAGTGACATTTGTATAAATGCGTAATTGAGAATTTATGACATGAGGACAATCGTTGTAGATCAGAAACAGCATAGGACCCAGGATATAACCTTGGATGACATTCGTGTTTGTGTGAAAGGATCTGGCAGCGAGCCTGTTCAAAATGACCTTCAGTTAACGGCAATTAACGGACATTAGATAGATAGATAGATTGATAGATATTGAACAGACATAGATAGATAGATAGATAGATAGATAGATAGATAGATAGATAGATAGATATTGAACAGACGTAGATACATAGATAGATATTGAACATAGATAGATAGATATTGAACAGACGTAGATAGATAGATAGATAGATAGATAGATAGATAGATAGATAAATTTATATAGACATTGAGAATCATTGTAGATCAGAAAAAGCGTAGGACCCAGAATATAGCCTTGGAGGACATTCGTGTTTGTGTGAAAGGATCTGGAAGCGAGCCTGTTCAAAATGACCTTCAGTTAACGGCAATTAACGGACATTAGATATATAGATAGATATTGAACAGAGATAGATAGATAGATAGATAGATAGATAGATAGATAGATATTGAACATAGATAGGTAGATAGATAGATATTGAACATAGATAGATAGATAGATATTGAACAGAGATAGATAGATAGATAGATATTGAACAGAGATAGATAGATAGATAGATATTGAACATAGATAGATAGATAGATATTGAACAGAGATAGATAGATAGATAGATAGATAGATAGATAGATAGATAGTACACCCGCAAATAAATAGATACGGGTATAAATACACTCATATAATTGGCAAACTGGAAAGTATTAATTAACTCAAGTATAAAAAAAAAGCTACTTTCCCCTTTCCTCTTTTACTGTAACTACAGAAAATTTGATATGTTATCAAAAATGACTTAATATTTACATTATTGTTGACTTTTATGTCATTAAATTTGTCTCTCTTATCTATTTTTTGTTCTTATTCTTTCTTTCCAATTTTTCTTAGCTTTGTTTAATGGAATTGCATTTAGAGACGAGGAATCTATTTTTGTTTCTCTGTAATTTTCAAGCTTGGGATTTATTTCCCTTCTCTCATATCTCGAAAATCCATTTTATCAATTTTGAAGAAAAAGTGTTTATGTGCTTGTTAATATTACGTCGTTGTCTTCTGATATTTAGAACTTAACAACAATAGATTCTTTTCTTTTCCATCTTCGTTTAATTCATATATATAGATGTATATATAGAGAGAGATGTGTATGTATATATATATATATATATATATATATATATATATATATATATATATATATATATATATATATATATATATATAAAATAGGAAGGAACTGGTTAGGTAAATAATCCAAAGTTCCTTAGTATTTTAGTTATTATTTTTTAAAAATAGTGCTTGATACAAAAGTAGAGCATAAATATAATGTCGCGAGTTGGAATCATATTTTTAAATAAATAATTATATATATATATATATATATATATATAGAGAGAGAGAGATGTATATATATAATATATATGTATGATATATATATATATATATATATATATATATATATATATATATAATATATATAGTATATATATATATATATATATATATATAGTATATATTATATATATAATATATGTATATTATATATATATTATATATAATATATATTTATATATTACATATAAATATATTATATATATATATATTTATATATTACATATAAATATATAATATATATGTTATATATATATAATATATATATATTATATATGTGTATATATATAATTACTTATTCGAAAATTTTAACTAAATATGTTATAAAATCACTACAAAAATAGCAATTTTGTTTCAATACTTCTGGTGTGTTATCAAGGGATGGTGTTGAATGTAGAATAAAGTGTTTTAAAAGTGTTTCAATCAAATTTTAGAATAGTATTTGTTGGTTATTGAAATTTATTCCGTATACACCAATCGTATACTTGGATATATATATATATATATATATATATATATATATATATATATATATATATATATATAAGACATTTTTATGTTTAAACATTCTTTTCATAGATAAAAATATTTAAGTAAATGCTCTGTTTATAATAAACATTATTAAACAAAATAATTGTGGGACTTTTGTCCATTTCATAATATATATATATATATATATATATATATATATATATATATATATATATATATATTAATGGGATTATTCTTACAATGAAATGTCTTTAATCGTCCTCAAAATCCCCTCAGTCATATCCCATTCATTGTGTTCAATAATATTCATTACTAAACACTTTAATCTTATCACACAATGATATCGATTTCTGTTGTAGCTAACAGCAAATCAACGGACAGTCTGTATTTTTTAATTGCTTCTCTGACAGCGGCTTTCAGGAAATCTAACCCAAAGCTTGTCTCATAACACTTTTCTTTTCAACGAACACCAAATCACCGTTGTGACAAACGAAAGACATTCAAATGGTTAGGGTCAAATGTCTCTTTCTTCACAGCTACTACCAATAATAACATAACATCGTCGTGAAACCTGATCCCGAGATTTACCCTACCCCCCTCACCACCACCATCACCACAAAGTCAGTTTGTCACACAAGGTCGGTTTTTAACGTGGGATACCGAGTTTTCTTGGTCTAAGCTGGTCTTAGCTTGTCTAAGCTGATCATAGCTTGTCTAAGCTGGTCTTAGCTTGTCTAAGCTGATCATAGCTCGCCTAAGCTGGTCTTAGCTTGTCTAAGCTGATCATAGCTTGTCTAAGCTGGTCTTAGCTTGTCTAAGCTGATCATAGCTCGCCTAAGCTGGTCTTAGCTTGTCTAAGCTGATCATAGCTTGCCTAAGCTGATCTTAGCTTCTCTAAGCTGATCATACCTTGTTTAAGCTGGTCTTAGCTTGTCTAAGCTGATCATAGCTCGCCTAAGCTGGTCTTAGCTTGTCTAAGCTGATCATAGCTTGTCTAAGCTGGTCTTAGCTAGTCCTAGCTTTTCTAAACTATTCTGAGCTTGTCTAAGCTAATTATAGCCGGTCTTACCACCACTATGTAACAAATGTTACGCAACAGTGGGGGGGGGACGCAAGGAATGAGAGAAGACCTCCGGCACGGGACCAGACACTATAACTGCAGCATCTACTCCGACGGGAAAGCCTCCCTTCTCCTCCTCCTCCTCCGCCAATCCCTTTGGAATAATCCGGGAGTAAAGAGCACCACGGGAAGGAAAGCCCCTGACACAATGCTGCACTTTCTAAAGGAATTTTTTTTTTTTAAATTATTTCAAGGACGACCCGTCAGATTAACAAGGAGACGATACGAAAACAGTTTAAATAAAAAGTTTGTTTCTCAAATTCTCAACATCAGCTGTGGGAATAACCAGGCATTTCTGTAACTGGTCATTTCATACAATCCAGGAGGCTTTGGGGGTCCGGCGAACTAATACTTGTCATAGAAGTCATTTTAACAAAATAATGGTGTCAGGATGGAGATCTATCAAAATATGTTTGAGGTTAAGACACACGAAAATAACAGGTTTTAAATCAGTCAAAAATTGAATTCAAACAAAGCAAGGGAAATGTTTGTGCTCATCTCCAAATAAAAGGTCTTTGTCTCTCCGAGCCGTTATCTAGCTGTGTGTTTACTTACCCTATAAATTTATCGATCTAACCACCTATCTACCGACGTCTGTTCATATATGTCCATCTATCTCTGTTGATATATACCTAGAGTAAACAGCAAGATTCTCCAATTGTTAGATTAATCTTTAAACCTTTGTATAAATGATTAAAGATATCTTACTGGAATTCTTCGAGTTTTTTTATAGCACAATTAGACTCTACTTTGAGCAATAAGTATGTATAATTATTCTCCAAGATAAACAGAAGATTCGAGATGAATTCGATCATAGCCGGCAATGACATGTTCATCATTACTTAATCATAGCTAAGGATAGAAAGCTCATGAAGTATTGAAATAGTCTAAATATATTGATATGTTATTCCAAGGCCCTTTTTCAACTTATTCAAGCTTACCTTTGCCCTCTCTAACATTCTAATTTTCTGTCCTGGAGTAACATGTTGCCTCACACGTGTCACGTACGATTTCATTTCCAAGTCTTTTTTCACTGTTCTTTGGACTGTCAAAGGTGAAAATCATCTCTCACGTGCCAAACGTCGTACGGACTGAGTTGGATCTTTTCTAATCGATCTCTTTAGCTCAAAGTAGAAATGATAATCCCTCTTCCTGTTGTGACGTCTTTATCCAGTTTTCCTTTCTACCCTTCCCTCTTTTAAAACTTATTCACCGTTCCCGCCAGAGTATGAATGGTTGTACCATTAGTGAAGGCCTGAATGATCTTTTTACTCTCACCATTGCTCAGTTGAGAAGAAGTGGAGTGGGACTGACACAAAACGGTTTTAACCTGTTATCTTTCTTAATGACTCGGTGTTTTTCGGTCATTCTTACGACAAATGGTGTCAAGATGTCTAAACGTCTTATCTAAGTACGCTACTATCTTGTACACCCCGGCCATCTTCAAGTGATATGCGTTAGAATTTCAGACAAAAGCCTTTGTTTAGTCGACTGGGGTCCGCCAGGACACATAGCCCAGTAGATAAAAGCATTGGTTGAAGTAATACAGTAACTTGACCCCAAAGCGTTTTTAGCTCAATAACACGCCACAGCAGAGGTGAACCAAAAAAGATACAGAGTTACTAAAGAGAAATAGTATATGAAACTGAGAATATCCAGAAGAGGCATGGCATGCGGAACAACTAACAAGCTTATTTCCCCTCATGCCCCAACTACATGAATTTAAGCGTGCTACTAGATTAGAATCCGCCAGTTTACTATTGGAACACCAAAAAGCAACGACCACATCTATTCCAACAGTTTCTTTTCACGTACTTCCATATAGGGTCTAATGCTCCTGCAACTCATTTCGAGGTCCTCGACAAAATCCGAAGAAGGATCTGCAATGTAATTAGGCCTGACTTGTCATCTCGACTCCAGTGACTTTCTCCAACTAATTGCCGAATCAAAGATATTTGCCAACCGCCCCACGCGGTCAGATGTGGCACAAGGTCGAATTTAACGTGAGGTTATCCGAGCCCGTAGCCTCGGGCAAAAATTCTCGATAGACCACGTAAAAAAATGAGATCCGGTAGCTGTCTACCACCCCAGACGAGACTCTGCCTTTCGGCATAGCCTCGTCTAGGTTCCTCTCCGCCCGCAGGCAGAGAGGTCGATCAGCACAGCCGGAGACGAATCTCCAACTAATTGCCGAAGCAAGCCCCCAGGTATACCCTGTGCTCATTACATATAGCTACTGATATAGTCAGTCCACATAGGTGATAGGGAATGTGGGACATTCTATTGCAACATTCCAGTTGGTAAGAGGTTCAACGCAAAAAAAAAAAAAAAATCTGCTAGTTTGAGCATCACAAAGTAGTTCTTTTCTATCGACTCCTATCAAATAAATTCTTAATTGTGGATTGTACTGCTCACAAAGAGTAGCGGCTAATGTCCGTACTACATTTCTTTTATAAAGTATTCTTTACCATTTTCTATATATGTCCGGCTGTGGTGGCTTCTTCAAATATCGGATTTTGTCAATCGAAGTTTAATAATCATAATTACATCAGTCACTCGTGGCCTCTGAAAGGGGAACTTAAATTGTAAATGTTTTTTCTTGGTATATGATGATTGGGCCCTGTTTTGCTTCGCATTAAAAAAAACGGCCTTGTACCACATCCTGCCTCGCGGGGAGGTAAGGTAAA